AAAAAAAAACAACACTCCACACATCACTTTTGGCCACTGTTGTGTTTGGCGGGGTTAGTACCACAATATAAGACCATCATCACCAGTGCATTGCTGCATTTTTCCAGTTTTCCAGCTAAAAAAAATGTAATTACTACTTTCATTTCTGCAGCTAGAGCATTGATTTGTAGAGTGGAAGAAGTTAATACATTTCTTACTTGGTCAGTTACAGAAAGAATTGACTATCTTGACGATCAAGTTTGTATCGTTTCATCAACTCCATGTCATCATATAACTCCAATACGTCATATCTTCATTGGAAAGTGTGTGTCTCCTCCTCTTTGCTGCCATCTTGTTACTCCTAACTAGGTTAGGAGACCTCTCCAGCTCTCTTAAATCATTTAGGAGCTGAGACCTAGTCTTAACACTTCGGAACCTTTATGAATCACACTTATTCTTAAATCTTGGAATAAGAGTAAAATTACGTCATTCTTACATTTTTGACACACTTAAGACTAAAATTTTACTCTGAGCAGCTTTATACATATGGCCCCTGATGTCTAAAAGTTTGGGGTCAGTAAGTTTTCTTTATTATGTTTTTATGTATTTTGGGGAAAAAATGCTCACAAAGGCTGCATTTATTTGATCAGAAATGCAGTAAAAACAGTAATATTATGAAATATCATTACAATTTAAAACAATTGTTTTCTATTTTAATATATTTTAAAACGTAATTTATTACTGTGATGGCAAAGCAGAATTTTCAGCAGTCATTACTCCAGTCTTCAGTGTCACATGATCCTTCAGAAATCATTCTAATATGCTGATTTGGTTATTATTATCAACGTTGAAAAGAGTTGAGCTGCTTAATTTTTTGTAGAAACCATGAGACCTTTTTCAGGATTTTTTGACAAATAGTAAGTCTCATTTATTTGAAAGTGAAATAGAAATCTTTTGTAACATTATAAATGTCTTTATCATCACTTTTGATCAATTTAATGTGCTCATTTTTTGAATATAAAACTGGCCTCTAAATTTTTGAGAGGTAGAGTATTTAGTAGGGATGCTCCGATAAGGATTTTTGCAGCCGATACTGAGCACCGATTTCTTGTCATGGTGATCGGCCGATACCGATTCTGATGCTTCAAGCTTTATATAGACGGTTCCAATGGGTGCACACGCCTGGCCCGAAGTTAACTTCCGGTCTGTGTTTGTTTATCAGTCTGGCTATGGCACCGGCTACAAACGCAGTTAAAGTTAAGATGATGAGTAGACTGAAGTTGGGCTCAGGTGGTTGTGCTGTGGGATGTATTTCCCATACATTTATTTATTTGTGGCGCTCGCCACAATATCAAAACTGACGGATTTTCCAAAAGGCTTTGTTGAATAAACATGAGCACGTACTGCACGTTTAAAAATCAAAAGGCGCGGGTTTTTTTATATCACTGTATTTCTGAAGGAAGACTATCTTTAGAAAATTTTCGATGTCATTTTCATTTCATCTTGCATGTTATATGCCTGATAAAGCAGCGTTTGTGAGCTCAGCGCTGCTTTGCGTACAGCCGTTACTGGGGAAACCTCTGTTTCTCCCGCTTTAAAGCACCTTCTGCTGGCAGAGAATTAATTTGCATTTCCAATAAGTCCATCTGATTTACGCAGCAAACATATTTTGCTTTTCCTATATCCACGGGTCGGGTAATAAAAAATGCATTGATTATTTGCGGGTGGATAAAATAAAGCATAAATGATGCAAATATTAACTTGAAATATTAATTTTTCATGAGGTAGACGATTTCATGTGTGTGTGTGTGTGTGTGTTCATTCACCTGATCGGGAAGTTGCAGTGACAGAAATGGTGACATTCCAGATAAAGTTTGAAAGGAGTAAAGCCTGTGCTAATGCTATTGAGTAGGCTAATATGGCCAAAGAAGATATTTTGTTTTATAAATAAATGTTCATTTAAAAGCAGCCCACGTTCAGCGTGTTATGTTACCGTTATTCCTTACGGCTCCTACAAGGTTTTGTTCCGTCCTCCATGCTGTGACAACTCACAAAAGACTATTTTTAGCCAAGCAGCGCGGAGAGCCGCTTCAGAAACGTATATATATACGATAAACACACTGACTAGAGCGGCCACGATCAGCTCCGGTTCCCATGGAGTCGTAACGCGCCGCAGACGTGTGCAGTGAGGCGCAGATCAGCTCTAACGTCACTGAATCTGCTGTTAAAAATGAACCATCCATTCATCATATCACGATGCAAAACATACACGACAAATAGCAAATTTTTCATTGTTTCTCGAAATGTCATAACATTTCCACACCGGCGATGACATGACTGCAGTGCCAAATCATTTATGTCCCCACGCATCATGTACGTCGTCACGCGTTGACGTCATCAAATTGCGATCAGTTCGTGAGATCAGCCAAGTTAGTGAGTACCGATCGAGTCATAAAATGTGATTATCGGCCGATCGATCAGAGCATCCCTAGTATTTAGAGCAGGATTCTGGATCGATTCGATTTAATGTTCAAGTGAACATGTCATTTATTTTCTAGTAAATAATGTGTGCCCTGACAACCGTTTATGATGATTAATAAACATTGCTTACTTCAGAACATAGGCCCCTGTGATGTGAACCAGGTAAAGGCTGATATAAACAAGCTGACGAGGAATGTCCTCCTGAAAAATAAAACAGAACATGCAACATTTAGGCCCAATTCCAATTCTACCCCTTAGCCCTTCCCCTTTCCCCTACCCCTCTGTTTCGCGCGTTCACGTAAATAGTAGTGGTGTCCCAATTCTTAGGGGAATATTTTCACCCCTACCCCTTGACACTCTGTTTCAAGGGGGAAGGGGAAGGGGTATAAAATAGAATTGGGATTGGGCCTTACTAAAACATCCTAATAAACACTATCCCCTAAAACGGTTCCATGTATGCGCATCCAAAAATGTCCACAGTGATTGTCTATTGTCATGTCTTCACTGAATTTCCGTCAAGTAAATGTTTGGTAAACACAAAGCCACTGGAAAGGGAAATCAGTCCGGTCACAATAGCAGGATGCATGAATATGGTTTTCAATGCATGTTGCGCATCCTCAAACACTTTGCTTGCTTACTTTCTTGGTCTTCTGGAAGTAGAGCTCAGGGATAGCATGAAGCCAGTAACCAAGCTGACAGATGTAGTAGAACTTCATCTGGAACCTAAAACAAGACAAGCAACAACTTTAGCATCTCCACGACTCATGGAAGTCAAACATCAATGATAATTGCATTTGCAAGCTGTGAGTTACATACAGTAGGTCTACAAAAATCAGAATAGAGAATTAGAGGTAGACTAATGCAAGATAATTTGATCAAGAGTCTTGAGAAATCTTTTGAACGGTCTTCTCCATGCGAACCAGCCAGGCAGATCAGTTTACCAAAGAAGATGTATCTTATGAGTGCTCATGCAGGAGATCGGCTGATGTGATGCGAGATGGAATATGAACCTCCACCATTTCATGGCCCACATTGAAACAACCATCACTTTACCTTCGTTACTCAACATATTCCATTATTTTAAATGTAAACATGCACAGACAGCTCAGACAGCTGTACTTACGGCATAAGAGTGTGCGGGTAACCGTCCCAAAGGCTGACGGGATTGGACAGGAGGTTCTCCTTTAAGATGAAGCAGAATAAGTCAAATGAATCTTCCAGACACCGTTTTAAACACCGACCTGGACACAAGCTCATATTTATATGAAGCAGAGTAGTGACGCTCTTACAGAAACAAGAATGTTGGCTCCCCACAGGCAGGAGAAGAGGTAGAAGGCACTCAGCTGACCCGACTCATTGAACTTGCTGTGCTTGGTTTTGGAGAAGTGCATCTTCCTGTTGATTTTCTGAACAGTCGTGGATTCAAATAAATGGCAAAACATTTATTAGTATTAACAGTGTTGCACCAAAACACTATTAAAGGGGTCATATGATGCTTTTTTAAAGATCATTATTTTGTGTATTTGGTGTAACAGAATATGTTGACATGCTTTAATGTTCAAAAAACACATTATTTTTCAAATACTGTACATTATTGTAGGTCCTCTATGC